CTCGGACCTACGGCGAGACGGCCATGTCAATTGCCTCGGCTGTGCTCAACAAGTCCGACAGCGCCAATAATCTGGCTACAAAGGAAGTCTACAACCTCATCGTTGGTACAAGCTCTATCCCGGAGCGTGTTGCTGACCACGTCCGTGAGGCCATCGCTGCTGGTGGCGACATTGGCGGCGGTGCAGGCGCCTCTGCTGGGACCTCCACTCGCGTGGACAAACTCGAGGCCGAGCTCGCCGACACCAAGGCCGAGCTCGCCGACACCAAGGTCGAGCTCGCCGACGTCAGGGATCACGTCACCATCGCCACGGGCAACATCGCCGCCCTCCAGGCCGACCGCGCCAACATCCTCCAGCACGTCGACAAGGCCATCGCCATCTTCCAAGCACGCCGCTAGTCCTACGGCTCAAATCTCTCCTCGTGGTGTGCCGCAGCGCCCACACCGCCGCCGGGACATCGTCCGCGGGCGACGCGATGCCGCACTAAAACACGCCCAGCAGCGTGGAGGCTTTGTGATGCGCCGCAGCGTAGCCGACCGTGTAGGGAAACTACGGGTGCCGACGGCAACACGCCCGAGACAATGATCCGGATCTCGCGAAGAAGCCGATGCGGCGACGATTCGGCAAGCGGCGACGATTCGGCAAGCACCTCTGGCCGCTTCCGGTAGGCGTTGAGCGAGCGGGTGGCCCACCATAACGAGATTGCCTGTACGCGCGCTTGCGCTCCGTGCGGAGCGCTGTGGATGCGGTCTGGGGCAATCGACGCGTACGGCATGACGCCGATGCCTGACGCGATGAAAGGCCCGTGCAAGATGGTGACCACGTTGCGCGCGTTGGCATACATCGGCCACCGCCTCCATTACCACCGCCCGCAGCGTCTGCTTCGCCTCGATCTCCTTGGTCTTCTTCCTCCTCTGGTAAAACAGCACGAGGACCAAGGCCGATCGCTGCGCCCGCGGGCACCGCAGTGACCACGCCCTATCAACGTGGCAGAACACTGGCTGCGGTGCCGCTTGTATCGGCCAGAAACACGCAAGGGAACGGCGGGGGCTCAACGACGATCAAAGGCAGGATGAGCAGGACATCGCCGTCGGCAAGATCGGCGGCGGCCAGGAAGAGTGCGAGGGCAAACTCGCTGGCAAAGCCGCAGCTTGGCGCGATTGTCGTCACCACCGGCGCGCTCCACCGCGCGAAAAGGTCGGAGATCCTGCGGTGGACGGCGCGGCCTGAGACGGGTGGGACGTCGCCTCTGTCCAAGCCAAAAGTAGCGATGTGGCTACCGGTGTGCGCATCGTGGACGTCGTCACCCTCGACATTGCTCTCATCGCCGCCGCTATGGTCGACGAGGAGGGCCGAGGCGGCGATGGGGTGCTTGACCCAGAGGCCAACGCCCTCGATGATCGAAGCGACGGCGTAAAAACGGCGAGGACGTACCACGAGTGCGGCGGGACGTGCCGGTGGACGATCTGCATGCGGACGGGCGAGGGCCATGGCGGCCGTGGCCGGAAGCCCGATGACCACCACCATGCTGACGATGTGCGCCACCGGAAGGTACAACCACTACTCGGGCGTGCAGCAGAGTGCGCCCGAGTGGTCGAGGACCGACCGATCGCGCGAGCCGGGTACGGCTGTGAAGCAGATGATGAATTGGATGAGACAGGAAGCGAGATCCGGA